GAAAACACATAATTACAATAGTCCAGGCATCTTTAGTAATGTGATGAGAAATTCTACCTGAATTCAGCAGACCCGGTTTGAGACCTCAGCCTTTTAATGACTATTAGACTTGGGGAAAATGATATAAAAAATGTTAGCATCTGTAACTTTACCTGTAAGAAAGTAGAATAAGGTTTGTGTCTAATAGGCTTGTAGTGAAAAATAAGTAAAAAAGCATGATGTGAAAACACTATGTAAACTGTAAAATCATGTATAAAATAAGATATAATTACACATATGTACTTATATGTTTCCTCAGACATATAGATAGAAGTGTGTATACATATATATACACATATACACATACACACACACATACCTGCAAACACACATATGGTTGATGATTCCCTTAAGTTAGTGTTTCCTAAGGTGTTTTAATGACCCTGATTTTGAATTTAATTATTTGATTATAATCTTACTAAATTATACAAACATAAAGCTATGCATACATATTTGTATTTACAAGTTAAATGCATATTTAACTTATACAATTCAAGTTGAGGAAAATAACTATTAGGATGATGTTTTTATGAAATTCAATTATTACTTGAAAAATTATACATGATACTCATAGGTATTTACCAAGTATGTGTGTGTGTGCATGTAAAATGAGTCAATCTTTTCAACATTTCTTACCATATAATCATTATATGGCTCATATTTGTGGAACTTTCTGTATAGTCACTTGTTCTTCACTTGAAGCAAGCCCATGATTTCTTCATTATCTGTCTCTGATATTTTTCTCTTTAGGCTGCAAAAATTAACTGTTATTTCTTGGCACAACATGATTATAAACACAAAAGCAAATGGCAGGCACTGATATTATATAGTAGAACCCATGTAGATAGTAATCTAGAATATTCTTATATTATAATTTTGATTAATTAACATTTATATATATTTATAGTTATATATACATATATAATTTTAATAAAAAAATTCATATATGCTTACTTTGGAAATACTTAAAAATCCTCAGGCTGGCCAGGCACGGTGGCTCATGCCTATAATCCCAGCACTTTGGGAGGCTGAGGCAGGAAGATGGCTTGAGCCCAGGAGTTCAAGACAAGCCTGGGTAACATAGTGAGACTCAGTCTCTCCAAAAAATAGCCAGGCATGGTGGCCTGGGCCTGTAGTCCCCAGCTACTGGGGAGGCTGAGGTAAGGGGATGGGTTGAGCTCAGGAGGTTGAGGCTACAGTGAACCCAGATTGTGCCACTGCACTCCAGCCTGGGTGACAGCGAGACCTTGTCTCAAAAAGAAAAAAAGAAAAAAACAGAGAAATGTTTTAAGGCTGCAGAAAGAAAAATAACCACTGTTTGAAGGATCTTAAATATGCAAAGAATAAATCCCATGTGGGGTTCGTGGTATTAAAGGTTCAGACAACACTGGACACTGGACATCTCTTCTACTTATTTTTTTGAAACCAAACTGTTACACCTCTCATGAGATAGGAAAGTGAGGTAAGCCTTCTTACTACCTACCAACTTACTCTTTGCTCTCTTTAATAAATAGATGACAGAGAGTTGATCCTTGCAACTAACATTTTTATTTGCAAATAAGTAAAAATTTTACGTGTGTATGTGTAATACAACACATATCCTGCATATAATGTAATAAGTATTCGACTTTCTGCATATGATAATAATTTGTCATGGATCGAATGCCTATGTCGTGTGGACAGAGGGCTCGCGTTTTGTAAGGATGATTTCATTGAACCCTCATGATTACTTTTTGACATAGGTCTTGATAACCTGAGCTTAAGAAGACAGCGTTCATTAAGTAATTTGGCTGAAGCCACACTGCTATTGAGAGGCGCAACAAGAACTGACTCAGACGTCTGAGTTTGAGGCCTGTGCTGATAAACAAAAGATAACTTTACAGGATCAATAAATGATTATTTGCCTAAACTTCTGGGATGTATAATAATACCTTAGTACAATTAAAGAAAAAACAACTGGGAAATTTTACTCTCTTTGGATATACCAAATGTAAGGAAATTCTCCAAAGTGTGAAAGTGTCTTACACTGCCAATGCTAATTAGTATTTTTAAAAACAAGTGATCTATGGATGCCTGTCATATAGCAATCATGCAAAATTGGGGGAATAAATGAGAGACGAATGAATACTAGACTTTAGCAGGAAACCGTCTTCATCCCATGAGCCTGATTTTAGTCCATAAGGATTAGGCCGCGTCTTCATTAAATCAGAAGTGTTATAATTCCACTTTTGACCAATTGCCAACCGTTATTTTAAATCCACCAAATAGCCTTTTGTTAAGACACTTAAGGGGCTAAACACTGTGGTTCAAAACCATAAAAAGATTCCTGGCTGTTGATCAGGCAACGTAAAATGGGTTGTCTTGAGACCTGGACAAGCAGGATTCACTTCTCAAAGAAGCGTCCAGATGTAACAAGGGGCTATAAAGATTTTCTGCTTTGGTCTCCTGAGCATGAATCATTTTATAATGGGGCTTCATCAGCGTTTGTAGAATGTCATCTTTCCCATTTAACCTGACAGAAAAATGTCGTTTCATTCCGTGCTCAGCCCGAATGAAAATTTTAGGAAAGCTGAACACTGGGCACATTCCAGCCAGCGAGTGGGAGAGAAATTAAGGCTTGCGATCAAGAACAAATGATTATCAGAGTGAAGTCTGAGAGAAAATGACGAGGAAGCTAGATTCTGGAGCATCGTGAGATACACACAGAAAAGAAAGGAATGGGTCTATGGCATTTACTGCATTCAGGAAATTAAGATGACATTTTCCAGATGCCAACAGTCTTCCTATGGATCTGTTGCTTCCACAGAGCCAAAGATGATTACTTATTATTTTAAATGCTTTGCCCCAAATGATGCCTATATGTCTATGGTTTTTCATTTTTCTTCTACTGCAAATGGATTATTGTAATATTCCATACACACACGTACACGGACACATGTACACATGCACATGTACAAGGCATGTACACACACATGTACGCACACACACGCACATGTGTTTTGTTTGTTTTTGAGACAGGGCCTTGCTCTGTCACCCAGTCTGGAGGCACAATTTCAGCTCACTGCAGCCTCTGCCTCCTGGGCTTAAGTGATCCATCCCCCTCAGCCTCCCGAGTAGCTGTGACAACAGGTGTGTGCCACCATGCCTGCCTAATTTTTGTATTTTTGGTACAGAAAGAGTTTCACCATGTTGCCCAGGCTAGTGTAGAACTCCTGGACTCAAGCAATCCTCCCGCCTCAGCCTCCTAAAATGCTGGGATTACAGACGTGAGCCACTGTGCCTGGCCCACATGTATTTTTGATGGTTGCAATACCTGATCATCCATTTAAACAAGAGACATTTTAGACCTTGAAATTTCCAGGAGTTTGGATTTTATTGGGGAATACATTTTCTTTTACTTCTCTGGCAGTTTCCCATTGTATTTATTTAATATATTGATAAAGAAGAAAGAACCAGAACAGCAAACCAAGGGACTCCAACAATACCAGAGATAACCTGTGCTTTTGCAGAAGAGAAAATAGTCTCGGTTGGGAGTCATAAGATTTACTCTCTGGCCGGAGGTTTTACTAGGCCATTGTGTCACCTTAGGTTAGTCGTTTTCTTTATACGTAGAATTAGGTGTTTATATAAATTCCTTCATCCAGCCCTTCCAGCTCTATCCTGTTACACAGGTACTCTCATTAGAATCTACATGGGAAAAAGTTTGAACTGTCTAAATTTAAATCCATGATGTGAACAATATCTTTAATACTGATTGAGTAAAAGAGGCTCTTTATTTAGTTACCATAGAACTTTTCTTTTACAAGTGCACCTGAAGTGGGTACATGATCGTTGAAATGTCATCCTCTGCCTGACTGTTGGTTTCATGACTGTCACGTGTAGTCATTTGAGAATTTTTTCCTTGTCTCATAGTAGATACATCTGGATCAGACATAGTAAATTTAAGAAGAAAGGGTTTACACGGAATTCTCCCCAAGTCTTGTTCTTTAAAAAACCTCTTCTGCACACATGCCTCTTTCTTGCATGGTGTTTCCCGTGAAAGCGGTCTACATCTCCGCTAGACACTGCCATCTGCCCTGGGAATCTTCCCTGAGTGCCTCCTCTATCCGTTCCTTATGTCCTGTTTTCTTGTAACAGAAGTTCCTGGGACTTAAAGGAAAATGAGTTGGGGAAGGGGAGAGGAGCAATAAAAGGGGAAGAGTTTTGAGAGCTGAGGCGGCTGATTCTTAGGAATTTCGACACCAAAGAGTCAACACTGCAATAAGCGTTGCGATGATAAAGATGCTACTTCATCCTTTCCCCTTTCTTTCCAATATGAGATGAAGATGAGTGTGTGACGTCCGTGCTCCCCTGGCCACACCCTCTGATAAAATATGTCAGACTGCGGTTAAGCTGCATGAGAGTGGTCAGCCTTATCTTCCAGAAAATTAATTCTCACCCATTTTCCACTGTTTTCTCATTCACCTTTAACATCCTTCACATTTTGAAAATGTGTATACTTATCCCATGCCCTAGAAATACAATTCATGCCAGGCACTGTGGCTCCTGACTGTAGTCCCAGCACTTTGAGAAGCCAAGGCGGGCGGATCACTTGAGTTTAGGAGTTGGCGACCAGCCTGGCCAACATAGTGAAACCCTGTCTCTACCGAAAATACAAAATTAGCCGGCATGGTGGAGTGCGCCTGCCATCTCAGCTGCTCAGGATGCTGAGGCAGGAGAATCGCTTGAACCTGAGAGGCGGAGGTTGCAGTGAGCCGAGATTGAGTCATTGCACTCCAGCCTGGGTGACAGAGCGAGACTCCATCTCCAAAAAAAAGAGAGTTATAATTCACAATTTCTGTATGTATTTAAAATGAAAACTAGATAAACAGAATTAATCATCATAATAGCAATTAATAGTTTTAATAACTAGAAAATAATTTCTGTAAGAATAAGCCTGCATTTGTTTCATTTCTTTTCAGCTGTGTCCTGTGGAATCCCAGAATCCCCAGGAAATGGTTCATTTACCGGGAACGAGTTCACTTTGGACAGTAAAGTGGTCTATGAATGTCACGAGGGCTTCAAGCTTGAACCCAGCCAGCAAGCAACAGCCGTGTGTCAAGAAGATGGGCTGTGGAGTAACAAGGGGAAGCTGCCCACTTGTAAGCGTAAGTGTTCTGGGGATATCTGCCCATCTGTGTGGTTTAGGTGGGAACTGAATCCTTTGGGGAGAAGTCCAGGTTCCCACATTCAGAGGTCCTCTCCCACACCTTTGAGGATTTGGTCTCTTTCATCATAGTGATATTAAAACCAGTGTATTTCATATAAAATATTTCAGCCATTTAGAATGAGCTATGCACTCTTGAAGTTAGGTGAATCCTAAATATAAACAGTGTAGACACGATGCAATTTGCACATCACATCCTATTCTATGCTGCCATTTTCAATTTGGAGGGATGAAATCTGAGGAAATTGAGACATTAAGCCCTGCAATAACACTTTACACAAGATGTTAAAACATAATTTAACACAATCTCTCCTATTTATCTTCCATCTAATTTTAAGTTCTTTGAAGTCAAAAGCAGTGCCTAATTTATTTGTGTATCACCTAATTTATTTGTGTATCATTGTGTATCTGCATAACACATTGATGCTCAGTAAATAAAGCATTCATTTAATTTGTGAAGTGGGGTAAGTTTTCCAGAAAGCTATTTACAGTCTATAGTAATAATCTTAAAAGAGTAACAAATTGGGGTACTTTCTGAAACTCTAGTCTTACAGAATAATAGTCTATAATGCAAAGCCCACCAGAAGAAAAATTCCACTCACACACACACTGAATTTCTACAGCAAGATTTTCATTGCAGGGATATTAAAACTAGTCTCAAATTGGAAATAATATAACTTCCCACTTTTTCTAAGTTAAAAACTATATAACATTTCTATATAGACAATGACTTTTTATGGTTCTATAATCTTATTCATTTAATATATCATGTATATCTTTACATGTCAGTACATATAGAATGATCTCCTTTAAAAAAAACTTTATTTTAGGTTCAGGGATACATGTGCAGGTTTGTTATATAGGTGAATTACATGTCACAGGGGTTTGGTGTGGAGATAATTTCCTCACCCAGGTAATAACCATAGTACCCAATAGATAGTTTTTGAATCCTTACCCTCCTCCCACCCTCCACCCTCCCATAGGCCCCAGTGTCTATTGCTGTCATGTTTATGTCTGTGTGGACTCAATGTTTAGCTCCCACTTACAAGACAGAAGATGTGGTATATGGTTTTCTGTTCCTGCATTCGTTCACTTGGAATAATGACCTCCAGCTCCAACCATGTTGTGAAGGACATGATCTCACTATTTTTATGGCTGCATAGTATTCCATGATGTGTATGCATCACATTTTCTATATCCAGTCTACCACTGATGGGCATTTGGGTTGATTCCATATCTTCACTATTGTGAACAGTGCTGCAATGAACATACACATGCATGTGTCTTTATAGTAGAACAATTTATATTCCTTTGGGTATATACCCAGTAATGGGATTTCTGGGTTGAATAAGTGTTCCATTTTAAGTTATTTGAGAAATCACCAAACTGCTTTCCACAATGTCTGAACTAATTTACACTGCCACCAGCAGCAGGCAAGTGTTCCCTTTTCTCCACTGCCTCACTAGTATCTGTTATTTGTTGACTTATTTACAAGGATATTTTTGCTCCAGTGATACTAGCAGAAGGATTCACATAGTCTTCAATAATAAAATCAGATCTTTGGCTTCTTTTTGTATACAGTATTTTGGTCATGTTAAAAATGTTAAACTTACTTATA